TCCCGGGAAACCATTGTTGCCAATCTCCGGGTGAGGGCTGGAGATCACTCAGAATCACAACTACTCTCCAGATGGCAGAGATCAGTTCCCCTGGAGAAAATGGTGGACTCTGTGCCAGTCAGGGCTTCAGAGTACGGTAGAGGCTGCAGTTGCGTGTGTGTGGAAATCTGAAGAGATAGGGAAATAAAGGACGATTGGCTGGGAAGGAGATATGTTTGCCAACTCCAGGTGGGAAATTCCTGGAGATTTGAGGGGTGGAACCTGGAGAGGGTGAGGTTTGAGGAGGGTGGGACCTCAGACAGGTACAATGCCATAGACTCTACCCTCCCAACCAGCCATTCCCTCCTGGGGGACCACTGTTGCCAATCTCAGGAGAGGGGTGGAAATCACTCAGAATTACAACTGATCTCCAGGAGGGAGGGGGGAGGAGATGCAAAGCTGAAATCAGAGGGGCAGATAATGGCAGGTTGTAGCTAGAAATAATGCTTTTCTCCACTATTCCTTATTTGGACAAAAGCCTAATTTATTTATAAAATTCATCTGCTGCTTATCAGGATCACTACTTAGACTGAAGTTATTTGCAATTCTGATCAATTTCTATTAGCTTCCGGTCAAGCAGAAATGCAGCACTACAGGATCCACAGATTAAAAAAAACCCCAAAATTAACACTGCTCTGACAGATTCTAAACTATGCTAGAAACAGCTTTAAATTGCCTCTACTATGCATGGATATCCAAATACTAAAATGAAGACCAGTTTCAACGGGTCACATTTGTGAATACATGCTGGTCCATGTGTTTTCAGTGAAACTTGGTCACAATTGACCAAGTATGGTGGGTGCAGCCACAAAATGCCTGCCACAGCTTACCTTCAGTCAAATCCTTGTGCTGAGGTGGCAGCTGCTGCCAAAGAAATGTTCCTTTAAAATATGCACAGCGAACTGAATCTCCAATCAGAAGCTTTTGCTAGATAAAAACCTGCCCTGCCCTCTTTCTATAAACACTTGGTGGGCGCCAAGAAAGGTGTTGCTGGGCACCACACTGGGGACCTCTGACCTAAACTAAACCTTCAGCAGTCATCAAGAACTGTAAAACCTCCTACAACAGCATATGTTTTAAAACAAGATCACCAAATTCCCAGGAACTTAGTTAAGTATAATTGACACTTTCTGTTCTCCAATAAATCCATAGCCATTTAAATTTTAAATTTGCTAAATTACATCTAAGAGCACAGAGAGTAATCCTCTGGTTTAAATACAGACTAATCCAAGTCCAACAACAACAGTGATGACTGAGCATGATATAACAGGGCTTTCCCAGTTTCTATACATAGGATTCTATATGTAGAGGCTAAGTTATAGCAGGTATTTTCAAACCAGCAGAACAGGAATATCACCAACTAGGAAAGGTGCCAGCTCTACTCTGTTACTTGTGTAATTTCAATAGCCACGCCCACTGCCAGCAATAGTATTATTCCGTTCTACAGCCTTCTACCAGGCTTAGTTTTTCCAACTCTTTTTCAAAGATTGCAAAAATTCTCAAGCAAGAAAAGTTTTTCAAATATTGTATTGTACACACTGGAGCCACAAACTCTATCAAATCCAACCACTAAATCACATTGCAATCCTATGGACACTGACGAAGGAGAAAGCCCAGTGAATCTGATTGTACTTGCTTTTAAATAAGCATACACTAGGTCAAAATATTTGTTAAATCCTCTATAAACCAGTATGTGGTTATAATCTTAATAAACGTACTTGTAAAATTGAAAGGGAAAAGCTATACAAAGCAATCCAACAAAACAGCTCAAATAATGAAGTCTGCAAAAGTAGAGTGTTCTCATACACCTTCCCAAAGGAAGTATCTAGTTGTAGCGTCACCTTGCTAAAGAATGTCATAAGACAAGTTACTAGCCTTTGTTCTATGGCTGCTTGATCATGGCTCCAAATGCTTTTTGATTGCAGTCACCAGCAATGCCCAACAACAGAAATGAGTGCAAAGAGGCAAGACTGGGAAACCAGTAGAAATGATAAAGACTGGCGGCAGCAGGAGCAAGAGGCATTCTGCTGATGGTGAGGCCACCCTCCCCTTCTGAAGCCTAGAGATATGGAGGAGAACATGTTTTGTGTAGCATCCATTAATTGATCTCCATGACTGCAGAACTGTCCCTTTTGTAGCATTAGATCCACTGAGTTGTATGGAGAAAAAAGGGTTTGCAAACCATGTGAACTAGTGAGGAAGGGAGGAGCGATCCACCTGTAGCCATCATGCACAGCTTTACCAGACACAAAATTACCTAAACATCTGAAAGCAACTGAACAGGAGCCTTACATCCTGTAAGGTAAAGTTTCCCTTGCTTGAAAGCCAGTTGAGTCCGACTCTAGGGTTGCGGTGCTCATCTCCGTTTCAAAGCCGAAGAGTCAGTGCTGTCCGAAGACATTTCCGTGGTCATGTGGCCGGTATAACTAAACACCAAGGCACACAGAACGCTGTTACCTTCCCACTGAAGTGGGCCCTATTTATCTACTTGCAATTTCTTGCTTTCAAACTACTAGGTTGGCAGGAGCTGAACTAGAGACGGGAGCTCAGTCACTCAGGTCTCGAACTGCTGAACTACCGACCTTCCACAGCCTGCAGTTCAGTGTCTTAACCACTTAAGCCACCGCAGCTCCTTACATTCTGTACATTACTAATAAAAATTAGCATCACAAAAGTGGTGATACTATCTGCACAAATCTTACTTAACAGACATTTCAAATAAATGCAGAGTTGTTCTCTTTTTTGTAAAGTAGAAAGCCATCATTTTCTACATAAAGCTGTCTGACTTCTTCATTTAACACAAAAGGTGGTGTACCTAAGAAGTAACACATTCAAGCTTCCTTGTTATTTAATTCAACCCACCACTTTGACCAGAATGAATCATCTCTTGTTGTCTACTGTCCTGAGCAACCAATACCCTAAGGGAAGAGTGAGAAGTTCTCGATTATCCGAAAAGAACCTGCCACAGTTAAACTAGGTGCCGATTTAAGACTTATTCTTCAGCTGTCAAGTCCCCTCAGTATGGCACTATAACCAACTCTCTGCTGCAGAGCAACATTTGTATCCACTTCATCATCATTGCCTTCAGGGGTCAGCGCTGACTGAGTGGCGAAAGGCAGCCTACCCCGAAAACTCGTACTGGAACGAATGTTGCAAACACCAGTGGGTGTTTGCTTTATTGTTCCAGAAGAGACTACCTCAGCTACCCCTTTGTGGTCTTAAAGGTGGCCCACTGGACTCAAACTCTGTTCAGCTACCCCTTTGCAATCTTTCACGTAGCGTTGGAAACTCCAGTGTCAAGTGAGTGCGGTTACTGTTGGGGTGCTGGGCACTGCGACAACTCGTCATGCGCAAAGGCAGGCTCTCGCATTCGTCTCCTGTCCTGACAGCCCGAGCCCCCGAGGGGCTGCTACTTCACACGGTCGTGGTGAGGCCTGTCCTGTCCTGACACCCGCCTGCCTGCCTGCCGGCACACAAAGGCCCCCCCACTCACCGCCAGCGGTTGATGCCCACAGCGGAGGAGGCCGCGAACCAGGGATCCAGGATGTAGATGCAGCGCACGGAGCCGCCCTCCCGGACGGCCGCCTGCAGCGCAGGGTTATCGTGGAGCCTCAGGCCCCGTCGGAACCAGTGCACCGAGCAGCCGCCGCCATCGACGGGCCGCGCCGGGACGACCCAACCGGGAAGAGAAGCCATCACTAATCCCAGAAACACGGCAACCTCTTCCCTCCGCCCGGCTGCTCCACACAGCGTCACTCAGCCGCCCCCCCCCGCCTCCTCCGGGGGCGCGCGGCTCCTCCCGCCGACGCCTATTGGCTGTCGTGGCAGCATAACTCAGAGAGCCCGAGGAGGCGGATCCGCACGTTCTTCCTGCGTGCATTGAAGGGGAAGGGCGGGGCCGCATGATCGGTGGGCGGAGCTGTTAGAGCCCAAGGAACGCTCATCAGGCACGTTACTTCCCCTAGCTCTGTTTGGATAGGTTTTCCTACACGTATCCCCTAGTTGTTATGCAATTGCTGATTAGCTCTCTTATTAAGCTAACCAGTGGGCGTTTATGCTCTAGGGCAGTGATGGCAAACCTTTTAGAGACCGAGTGCCCAAACTGCGACCCCAAACCCACTTATTTATTGCAAAGTGCCAACACTGCAATTTAACCTGAATACTGAGGTTTTACTTTAGAAAAAACAACTCATACATTAAGATGATCCAAACAAAGTAAGGAAAGCAATCCCAAATGCTTTCATTTATTTAAAATTATTTGGCAGAGAATTCGACACTTTAATGATGGTCTGGGCCTGGCTGGGGTGATGGCACGCATGCGGCAGAGAGGGCTGTGAGTGCCACCTCTGGCACCCGTGCCATAGGTACGCCACCACTGCTCTAGGGTATCGGTTGCCCTGCCAAAGAACCTCTCGTTTGTCATCCTGTACGTGGTTGGATCCTGTGCTGTGCCGTTTTTTGTGGATTTTTTAAAAACCGAAATAGTAAACCTGTCGTGAAGAACAGACAAGCTGAAATAATTTCAGGAGTCCCAGTCTCACACACAAACTTGTTATTTAAGGGGCATTTGCTTAAGTAATGACAAATGCTCCCGATAATATCTGGGGATGTATCTTACACAACCCTGGAATTCTTTATCATAACGGACCTTTCCGTCATTTTCATACAAAGTACTGTGCAAACAAGTACATACAAGCAAGGACTCTTCGATGAAGACAAGGTTTGATCGTTCTCAGTGGCTACTGTGTAAAACAAGTATGTTTGCACAGGCCAGCCGGTCAAGCCATAGGTTTGTTTTGGTCCTTATACCAGTGGACCTGGTTCTCAAAACTTTAAAATGGGGCCCACATCAAACTTACTACACTCTTTGGGACCACTTACAAATTAACTTTATGCCACTTTCCTCCTCCCCAACATATAATGCAGGAGTCTCACATCAGTTAACAATGAATATGTATAGCATTACTGAGCATTATAGCAATATATAGCATTACTGAGCATGTCATGGCCTTTTCTCCCTACTCCTGGGAAAGACCTGTAACCCACTTTGGGGGGTTACTCGTAGTTTGAGAACCGCCTCATTTATTATGTAAGAGTGTGTATGCATTATACATTTTAGAATTCTGGACTGTACCACTAGAGGTGGAATTCTTTTTTTTTTTAACACTGTTCCACGTGGTTGAGCTATAGAATTGACACCACTTATTTCCCAGGCCTCCAACAGCTGCAGGAAACAAATTCAATGTATGCAAATTCTCTCACCTTATGGACAGAATAGTGGGGGAAATTGTTACATGTTGAATGTTTGCCCATCTTGTGGTTTTCATGATATACACAGACTATGTCAGTGGCAACTCCACAGCGGCCTTTCCTGGGCAGAAAAGATCTAGCCACTGTGGTGCTTACACTGGTTACATGTATATTAGATTACTGCAATTCACTCTTCATGGGGCTGCCCTTGACAAGTGTTTGGAAATGTAAACTGGTGCAGAATGATGCAGCCAGGATGTTGATTGGAGTGGGCTGTAGGGACATCTCACTCCAGTCTTGGCCCATCTATTTTATTTGTGTATTTTATGTTATTTAGTGTATTTTACCTTGGCTTTAGGTGTTTTAATGATATGCTTATGTTTGGTTTTAATGCTTTTTACAATGTGTATTTATTGTGATATTTTTAATCTGTTAGCTGCCTTGGTGGCCCTGATCAGGGCAGAAAGGTGAAGTATAAATGTTGTAAATAAATAAAAGAAAAACTCCACAGCCTGTCCAAAGTTCTGAGAGATAAAAGCCATGCTGCATAAGACCAATGGCCTCTCTGACAGTGCATCTGCCCCTTGTGAGCAGGGGCGAAAGTGGCTTCAGTTTCTTACTGGCTGTGTCTTTCAGGGCATCTCAAAGCAGAAGATGGGAGGTACCACATTCTTAGTGGTACTCCATATCACATTGTCCCTGGTATACTTTCACCCCTGCTTGCGAAGCTAGCCAAATAATTGTGATCCATTGCTAGGCATGCTTAAGCTAGTTGATTCCATTTTATCCATCATGCATTTATGTAGTCATTTTTTAAAAAAAATTCAGCTATTCTTGTGCCACCATAACATCCTGTAACTCTCTTATGACCAGCACCTTAAAGTGAAGAGTGGAAGGTGCACAGAAGATAGCAAGTACTTATTTCAATGGACTTAGGTACACAGGATCACACCACACAAAACACCAAGAAAAGTACAAACAGTGCTGGAAATAACAATCTCCTGTTGTTTATCTCCAGCATCATCAGAGGTATACTGGTTATTAACATGCAGGTTGTACTTCCAGCAATTATGACATGGAGTCAGCAGCAGATCTATCTACCGTGTATTTACATAATCCTTTCAAGAAGCTTGTCATGGTCATCATAACATCCTGTAGCATTCCTATTATCAATACCTCAAGTGGACAGAGGAGGGTGCAGCTAACATCATACAAACAACAACTAAGCAAGGTCTGAGAGAATGTGTTATGAACAGATGTAACATCTGGACTCCATTCTGAAGCATACTTACTTGGAAAAATGTCTTCACTTAAATCAATGGGATTTTAGTTCCAAGTAAACATGGTTAGGAACAGCACTGGGTACAATCAGGGGTCATTTCTTGCAGGAGTGCACAGGAGCGGAGCTCCGGCAGTAAAGAGCCCAGGGGGCCATGCAACAAGCCCCACCCCCCCTGCTCCCAGCAGCCCTCAGTCAAAGCAAGAAGCAGCCAGGTAAGTTGCAGAGCCCCCCGCCCCCCCGGCCCAAAACAGTCAAGTGGCACCTTTAAGACCAAGTTTTATTCAGGTACAAGCTCTCCCTCCTCTGCGAGGGCAGATCTGCATGTCCCCGGGTGCTTGTAATAATAATAATATACTTTATTGTCATTGTACATAGTACAACGAAATTAAGGTGCAATCATTCGGTGATCTACAAGCATACTCATATACACTCACACAACCATTAGGGTTCACATTGCAACTTAACCACCAATGTCAACAAAACCACCAAATTCCAATTCATACAGCATTTAAAGCAATAATAGCTCTCGAATAAAAACTGTTTTTTAATCTGTTTGTCCTTGTTTTGATTGTCCTATATCTTCTACCCGAAGGCAGCAGTTCAAACAGGGAGTGTTCAGGGTGTGACAAATCCTGCAAAATGTTCTTTGCTTTTTTCAAGCATCGAGAACTATACAATTCCTCCAGGAACGGGAGAGGGCAGCCAATAATCTTCTGGGCTGTGATGATAACTCTCTGGAGTGCTTTCCTCTCCACAGCCGTACAGCTGGCAAACCAGGCACAGACGCAGTATGTTAAAATGCTCTCTATTGAGCAACGATAGAAGGACATCAGTATTTTCTCACTCAAGTTATTTTTCTTTAAAAGTCTGAGAAAAAAGAGCCTCTGCTGGGCCTTCTTCACCAGAGCAGTGGTGTTAGTGCTCCAAGTCAAGTTCTGCTCAATAATCACTCCCAAAAACTTAAAAGTAGCCACCCTCTCCACACGTTCTCCACCAATAAACAGTGGCTGAATGTCCGTTTTGTTCCTCCTATAGTCCACTACCAATTCCTTGGTCTTGGTGGTGTTGAGGATCAAATTATTTTCCCTGCACCAAACACAAAGCCGTTCCACCTCATCCCGATAAGCAGACTCATCATTCCCAGAGATGAGCCCCACCACAGTGGTGTCATCAGCAAACTTGATGATGGTGTTACTGGGGTGGGTGGGGGTACAATCCTGTGTGTAGAGGGTATAGAGCAAGGGGCTCAACACACAGCCTTGTGGAGAACCGGTATTAAGGGTAAGGGTTGTGGACATATAGGACCCTACTCTAACCCTCTTGGCAGTTTCCCCAAGCTACTTCTCTTTTAGCAATCCTGGTTCTAAAAGTACCCCTACACATAATCTGACTTGGAGACTTGGTCAACAAAATACAGAAAGTACACAGTATCAGAGGTTACAAAAATGCACAAAGCCTTTTGTATTTATAATGACAAAAAACCAAGGACAATATGTCATTTTTGGTCATTATGAATACAAACGGCGTTGTGCATTTTTGTAACCTCTAGTACTGTGTACCTTCTTTCCAGTTGTCAGAGGTGCCCCCCCCATAATTTCCCCAATAAAATACAGAATTAGGAATGATCAGCATAATGATGATATGCCAAGGCTTTTCCCCCTAGGGGAACGCACCAGAAAGGAGTTTCAGAAATTCTTCAACAAAATTCTTTTAAAAAATATTTTAAAGTTTATGAATTTTCAGTATACAAATTGAAATATGCAAATAAGTTATGCTAATGGGCTCCTACACCTCTTTGTCTACTAAAGTACTAAATGACCCCTGGGTACAATGTAGGGTCTTCACTGGCAAGGAGAAATTGGCAGGAATTGTAGTTTCCCACCAACAGTGGAAGTTCCGCTTTGTTGGTAGAAAATGAGTGTTAGCTCCAACCCCAGGTCTTCAGTTCAATGTATACTGACTTGGGAGTTACTCCAGCAAACTCAGTGAGACTTACTTCTAACTAAACATACATAGGGTGTCTACATTTGCTTATCTCATTTCTGTAATCTAAAAAACTGCATTGCCTAGATTAGAACATAAAAAGGTAAAGGTAAAGGTTCCCTTGCTCGAAAGCCAGTCGAGTCCGACTCTAGGGTTGCGGTGCTCATCTCCGAAGAGCCAGCGCTGTCCGAAGACGTTTCCGTGGTCATGTGGCCGGCG